CAAAAAAAAAAAAAAAAAAAAGAAGAAGATTATAACAATGTAGAACACCACTTATAACATTAAAAGGAAATTGCCAGCATACAAAAATTATACATATTATGATCTCAACTAAGTAAAAATGCATAGCGTAGAAAAAAAAATAAAACAAGACATTAACAATATTTTCTACATTTTCTTCAAAGAATATGAATTACTGCTAACTTTTTTTTACATTTACAGTTTTCCTTTATACTGGTGGTGGCTACACATTGTAAACGTACTAAATGCCACTGAATTGTACACTATAAAATGATTAAAATGGGCAGGGTACAGTGGCTCAGCCTGTAATCCCAGCACTTTGGGAGGAAGGCGAGAAGACTGCCTGAGACCAGGGGTTCGAGACCAGCCTGGGCAACTCGGTGAGACCTCACTTCTATAATACATAAAAAAAAAATTACTCAGGTATGGTAGCACACGACTATAGTTCTGGCTACTTGGAAGGCTGAGGCAGAAGGATTGCCTGAGCCCAGCGGGTTGATGCTGGGGTGGCCATGAGCGTGCCACTGCACTCCAGGCTGGATGACAGAGTGAGAATCCGACTCAAAGAAATAAAATGATTAAAATGGCAAATTTTACATTGTGTGTTCTTAATCGCAATAAAACATTTTTCATTTAAATTTTCCATGTAAGAGATACTGAAACAAACACATTAACCCACTGTCTTACCTGTCTTACATAATGTTTATAAGTTACCTAATAAAGACAAGGTTTAAGGCACAGTTCCCTATTAAATGCCTTTTAAGGATGTAATAAGCAAATCTACCACAACAGTGCTTTTTCTCCTGATTTAATAAAGCCCCAAAAGAGATTTAGAGATCAAGGCCAAAATATATTTGACAAAGCACTCTACCTGTCTGCTTCATCCAGAATGATGATCTTATGTCGACCTTTGGGAAGGGTGACTTTTTGTTGAGCAAACATTTTTATTTTGTTCCTCACAACGTCAATGCCCCTGAAATAAGTCAGAGTTTTACTGTCACATTCTGAAACAAATTCAGTTACCTTCATGGGGATTTTTATTTATTACTTCCCCCACCCCCACTATGGGAACTTTTAAACCCTCAGTATATCACCAGGGACTACAGGACCCAATTTCATTTTTTGAGTTTCTATTTTGGGCAATTCTAACTATTTATAAGGATTGATATTTTGTGACTTTTATTCTTTCTTGGAAGTCTTCCAAAAAACAAAGAAAATGGTCAACTTACATTTTTGATAGAATAAATTTCACTTTATCTGGCAATTACCATATGGCTCCACTGAATTCTTTTATAGTCTAAGATACATTTTGGGTTTTAGTAATTTTATGCTTCCTATATCTTGAAACAGCTTGCTAGTTCATCACCCTACTAATTACCTCATTAAAATTCCTCAATTATTCTTGACTATGCTAAAAAATAATAAAATAACAAGAAAATGAACAAATGATGGAATTACCTAAAAGGATGATACGACAGAGGGAAAAGGAAAAAAGCTGATATTGTCTCACCCTTCAGTTTTTTATTGCATTGTGTGAGGTGCTGCATTATCTTTCAAAAGTTAAAAGAGAAGTTCAGGCCGGGCTCAGTGGCTCAGCCTGTAATCCCAGTGCTTTGGGAAGCCGAGGTGAGTGGATTGCCTGAGCCCGCGGGTTTGAGACCCACCCGGGCAACTTGGCGAGACCTCATCTCTACAATAAATCAAAAATCAGCCGGGCATGGTAGTGCCTGTAGTTCCAACTACTGGGGAGGCTGAGGTGGAATGATCGCCAGAGCCCAGCGAGGTCGAGGCTGCGGTGGCCGGGAGCATGCCACTGCACTCCAGTCTGGGCGACAGAGTGAGATTCCAACTCAAAAAAAAAGAAGTTCAGATGCACCATCTTTGTTGTCTTTTAAGCTTTCACTGACCACAGCTAAGAATTCATAGATTTTTTGTTTTTCCCCACAATGAACAGCAAAGATTAAAAAAAAAAAAAAAAAAATTGACAGAGAGGTCAGGCATGGTGGCTTACGCCTGTAATCCCAGCACTTTGGGAGGCTGAGGTGAGGGTATTCCCTGAACCCATGGGTTCAAGAACAGCCTGAGCAACTTGGCGAGACCTCATCTCTACAATAAATTTAAAATATTAGCTGGGCATGGTATCATGCGCCTCTAGTTCCAGCCACTTGGAAGGCTGAGGCGGAAGGATGGTCTGAGCCCAGCAGGTGGACGCTGGGCTCGCCATGAGTGTGCCACTACACTCCATCCCAGGCAATAGAGTGAGACTCCAACTCAAAAAAAAAAAATTGACAGAGGAAGACTTTTCTTAATTATTAGAAGAATCAGAAAAAGACTGCAGAGAAACTAACAGCATTCTAGACCTTCCTGACAGTAAAACTGATCATATAAGTAAAATCTCAGACTATGAGACTTCAGATGCCAATATTCTAGATACATTTTCTCAAACTTGGCCGGGTGTGGTGATTTATGCCTGTAACCCCAGAACTTTGGGAGGCAGAGGTAAGAAGACTGCCCAGGAACTAGTTCCAGGACCCACTTCGGATGTCAAAATTCAAGGATGCTCAAGTCCCTTATATGAAATGGCACAGTATTTGCATATAACCTATACATATTCTCCCATATACTTTAAATATACAGGTTGCAGCCGGGAATGGTGGCTCACGCCTGTAATTCTAGCACTTTGGGAGGCGGAGGTGAAAGGACTGCCTGAGCCCAGGAGTTTGACACCAGCCTGAGCAATTTAGCAAGACCTCATCTCTACAATAAATCAAAAAATTAACCAGATATAGTGGCACATGCCTGTTGTCTCAGCTACTTGGATGACTAAGGTGGAAAGATCGCTTGAGCCCGGTGGGTCAAGGCTGCAGTAGCCATGACCATGCCACTGCACTCCAGCCTGGGTGATAGAGTGAGACTCTGAATCAAATAATAATAATAATAATAATAAGACTCTGAATCTAATAATAATAATAATAATAATACAGGTTGAATATCCCTTATCTGAAATGTTTGGGACCAGAAATGCTTCAGATTTTGGATTTTTTTGGAATATGGAATATTTGCATTATACTTACTAGCTGAACATCCCAAATCCCAAAATTCAAAATCTAAAGTGTTTCAATAAGCATATCCTGGTGCTCAAAAAGTCTCCAATTTTGGAGCATTTAATATTTCCAGATTTGAGATGTTCAACTTGTAGTACCTAATACAATGTAATTGCTATGTAAATATTTGCTACACTGCATTTTTCATTTGTGTTTTTTTAATTGTTGTATTATCATTATTATTATTATTATTTTCAAATATTTTCTCTCTGTAGTTGGTTGAATCTGTGGTACCCACGGATATTGAAGGTCAACTGTATTTCTAAGGACAAAAAAATACATATATTATTCTAGCTAGTCACTCAACAAGGACATCATTCTACAATATCTTGTAATAAGAACTTGAACATCTCATTTTGCTAAGACATATAACAATATTATTTAATTGGTATGATGCCTGTACACTAACATTTAATGGCACAGTTCATAGTAATCAAAAGTTAAAGGCAGGTCTGTACACAAAGGTAACTGAAAGTAAATAGATGATATGGAAATAGACAAAGAGTCACCATATTGATCACTGTAATGGGTACTTATAAATCTATAAATATTTTGGCCAGGTGCGGTGGCTCATGCCTGTAATCCCAGCACTTTGGGAGGCCAAGGCAAGAGGACTGCCTGAGCCCAAGGTTCAAGACCAGCCTGGGCAACTTAGCGAGACCTCATCTCAATAATAAATCAAAAAATTAGCCAGGTGTGGTAGCATGCGTCTGTAGTTTTGGCTACCTGGAAGGCTGAGGCAGAAGGAGCGCCAGAGCCCAGCAGGTCCAGGCTGCGGTGGCTGGGAGTGTGCCAGTGCATTCCGTCTGGGCAACAGAGTGAGACTCCAACTCAAAAAAAAAGTAAACCAGCAAGTCACCTGAGTGAGCAATCCTTATACCCTTTCACTGCAAGGACCAGAGGAGAACACACAGCTGCAAGGCAAGCATCGAGCACGTGGGCGGAAAAAGGCTGTTTCTGTATCCATTGGAAATGCAGAATTTGCCCC